AACCAGGGCAGTCATAATACAAACACTGGAATGTTTCAGACATTCCTGATGAAGAAAGTTGTCATTATTATACATGGAAATATATACTATTTTTGTTATTAGATTTATAGTAAAGCAATAGCATAAACTAAGTACCGTGTATATCCTTGTTGTCAGATGTATGATCTCTTAGGACTAATAAAGCCAGGGAGATGCAGGTATCAATGAGTTTGGTAAATTTAATGTGTATTTATAGTATATTTATTGCATTTTTGGAATCAGGATCTATAGTGACTTTGCTAAAGTATTATATTTAGAATTATGTACTCCTTTTCACTTACTTTAGAACTACAAGCAGCGATATGGAATAGTTGTGTTAATATGTGAAAATTTACATCTAAGTTGAGTACACATACTTAATTAGTCAAAACATCCAGAAATGAAAGTTTCCTGCTAGGGGCTGGCAGGTAGTGTGGTTGGGGCATTGAATTCCCACATGGCTGACCATGGTTCGGGTCCTAGACCTGGTGGCTTGCTTTGTCACTTTCCTTTTCTCTCTCTCTCTGTCTGTCTCTGGTCAAATTAAAAAATAATGATGACAAATAAAATTAAATAGTTCTTAAAAAACAAAAAGGGCCTGCTAATTGATTTTGTTATAGTTGGTTGGAAATTTTATATTATAATAAAGAACTATTATATTGTAATTGAAAAAAAGAAATATATGTATTATTTTACATATACTGCATTAGTAGTATATAGAACTGTATTATCACTGGTAGATGGAGAGACACATACAGTTGAATAGAGAGGGAGATAACCAAAACAGAACCTACTGCACAATATGCAGAAAAGAATTGGGGGTTGGACATTGCTATGGGTCGAATTGTGTCCCCTACCAATACTCTTATGTTGAAGCCCTAACTCGCAGTGTCTGAGTGTGACCTTGTTTGGAAATAGCATCATGGCAATTGTACCATAGATGAGGTCATGCTGAGTAGGTGGGCCCCTGACTCATGATGATTGGTGTCCTTATGGAAAGGGAAATGGGAGATGGACAGGCATGCAAGGAGAATAGCACATGGAGACTGGAAATTAGGCAAGGAATCGCAAGAAGCTAGCAGACTTTTAGCCTGTAGGACTGTGAGACGGTACCTTTCTGTAGTCTAAGCTACTCGGTGTGGAGTACTTGATTATACAGCCCTAGCAAACAAATCCAGGTATAGTGGAGGAGATGTGAAGGCACCTAAGGAGACGGACTCTCACACATCTGTGGTGAGACAGGCAGAGTAAGTCTAAATCGTCTGTGCTTTGTCTTCTTTCAAAAAAGATACTAATACTCAACTAAAAACAGGCATTGAATTATCTTGGAATACCACGTGAACAAACACTTTGTATTGTTCCCTTGATTGCTCTATGAAACCGAACACAATAGCATTTCCTGATTAGAGGTTACAACTGAAATATCCCAGAGGGACAAAAAGGAGAAATTTTGATGAGATGTGTGGACCTCTTAACAGTACAGCTGAGTATGTCAGACCCTCCCAATAAAAATACTTTATACAGTCTATCAAGTGATGCATCAAATCACAGTAACAGAAAAGCTGTTTGCCTGCTTCACAGGTACTTTGACTTGGAAAATAGAGTTTCAAATTGAAGTTTTGATCTTTTAAAAGATACTCTGAAAACATGAAATAAAAGTTGGTGATATGTTGTTTAGATAGAATTTGACTTTCCTCATCTATCTACATACTTGGCAGACAGTGCAGGTGTAAGTTTTGGTAGATTCTTTTGTTTATAAACTTGTAACCAGAGAAAAAGTTATTACCAGCCACAAGTCTTGCGTATCTTAATACAAAATGCTGCTGAACAGGGATAATATTTGTTTACCCCGATACTGAGATTTTTGGTCATTATTCAACTTTTGAAAAAACTGCAGGAGTACTTAGTGAGAATTAATTAGCATTTTCTTAATAAAAAAAAAAAGATGACTTCTAAAGACAAAGACATGTGTCTATAAGATAACTATTATTGTTGCTTGCCATGGAAAAGACATTTTGGGGTTGTCGGAAAAGTCATGACGCATTTTTGCATAGAAAACAGAAAAATACATTATGACTTTTCCAACAACCCAATGCAATGTTGGTGTGTCAATGAAATCATATTTTCAAAGTGTGGAGCAGGCACAGAAAAATATTTATGTGCCATTTCTCCAAAACTGTTGGATGATAGTTGAGGAAGCCTTGAGAAGCTTAGCAAAAACTGAACTATCGATACCTGTTTTTTTTTTTTTTTTTTTTTTTTTTTTTTTTATGTTATGTGTCAGTTGAGACCAAACCTGATACAGTAAAACAATTACCTTTTTATGGGGAAAAAGACAGCTTTAGAACTTAAAAATGTTATCAGGAAAGACTGGCCATGACAACAGGATTTTTAAAAAATTAACTTAGAATCCTTTCCATGTGCTTTGGTGTGTATGAAAATGATGCACACTTCAGCCATCGATAGCCTGAGTGATGAACTTGGACATTCAAAGAGCCTTACGAGAGCTGATCAGCAGCCCTGTTGAAACAAAGAGGGGAAGCATTTTTGGCAAGCTAGAAACACAATTCTTAGTTTTAAAAGCCTGCTGTTGTTATCTTAAGTAGCCTGTGCCTAAAATGTCATTATTAGGAGAATATTTAGCTTGAGGTTATCATATTAGACTGATATCAGGAACCAGTGGAATGTGGGCTTAATTGCAGAGTTTCAGGTCAAAGTGAATTTTGTGTTAGACCGTCATCCTTTTACCACAATACGGATGTCCTGAAGGCTGCAGGCGGTGGCAGTTAAATATTATTGGAAGATGAAACAAAGAGTAAAAATATCCTACTGTATCATGGGACGGAAACATTATTTTTTATTCAGTATAATTACTTCAGTTTCTTACGTAAATTCTTTTTCCAAGGGATAGCTTTTATTAGCTTAAAAACATACAATAATATGAAGCCTACTAAATTTAAATATCCTTAAATAAAGGAGCGGAAATTAATATTATAGTAATATATTTTTTACAACTTTATTTGTTGAATTAGTACTACTGTTTATTACTACTCGTAGTAACTGTTAACTATTCTTGTTGTTACTTTGTTTAAATAAAAGCATTTATTGTGACAAAAAAGCAAATGGTACAGAGTAATGTGAAATTTTAAATAGACACCTATTCTTCATATTTCTGTATTAAGGTAGTACAATGTGTGCATAGTTCTTTCTCATACACCGCACGTTTTGACTGGTGTGGCCGTGTCCTGAGGGTCACTCCCCTCCGCTCACAGATGTCATTTGCTGTGTTTCCTCATTCCTTCTTCCCCATCACATATTTCGGTGTCACTGAGGACAATGAATTTAAGATTATAAAAAGGTTTAAGTTAGCCTTGGAAAAGTTCGTGTTTGTAATCCAGATCTAAATTTTAAGTTCCTAACATAATTTTTATGGATAAGTACTAAATATCTTAACATAAAAGATGATTTTCTTTAATGATTCATATTGTTCCTATTTGGAAGGCAGCATGATAGAGCTAGTGGAACAGTAGTTTCCAAACTTTCTCATGTATTTAATATGTTGTGGGCAGTTAGGGCTATTTTCTTTGGCATGTAATCGTAATTCTGACTTAATCGTAAGTGCTGGAGTGATTTTTATTTATCTAGCAGCAATTTTTAAAGAATATGAAATGAAATTATTGAAATGTATACTTTTGGTTTTCTTCCTAATGTTTTTTTTTAACTGTTATGCTTTTTATATTAGTAACGTGCTAGAATGTACTAAGTATGTTTTAATTTAGTAAGGCTCCAAAAGTGTGTGTGTTTTGCTCTAGGATCTTCTGATTGACAAATATATTTTTCATATTAAGTGTGATAGATAAAATTTGGCATGTGCTATTATTTTTGGCAAATACGCATCTGCTTGCTGGCTTATATATTTTTGGGATAAGTATGCTTTTTGATATTTTTAAGGTGCCTCAACTATAAAGTGGATATAACGTGTTTGTAATCCAGATCTAAATTTTAAGTTCCTAACATAATTTTTATGGATAAGTACTAAATATCTTAACATAAAAGATGATTTTCTTTAATGATTCATATTGTTCCTATTTGGAAGGCAGCATGATAGAGCTAGTGGAACAGTAGTTTCCAAACTTTCTCATGTATTTAATATGTTGTGGGCAGTTAGGGCTATTTTCTTTGGCATGTAATCGTAATTCTGACTTAATCGTAAGTGCTGGAGTGATTTTTATTTATCTAGCAGCAATTTTTAAAGAATATGAAATGAAATTATTGAAATGTATACTTTTGGTTTTCTTCCTAATGTTTTTTAACTGTTATGCTTTTTATATTAGTAACGTGCTAGAATGTACTAAGTATGTTTTAATTTAGTAAGGCTCCAAAAGTGTGTGTGTTTTGCTCTAGGATCTTCTGATTGACAAATATATTTTTCATATTAAGTGTGATAGATAAAATTTGGCATGTGCTATTATTTTTGGCAAATACGCATCTGCTTGCTGGCTTATATATTTTTGGGATAAGTATGCTTTTTGATATTTTTAAGGTGCCTCAACTATAAAGTGGATATAAAAATGAGTTCCTATTAGATATTTAACACTATAAAGTGTCTAAACTTCTGAAATTCACAATACTTTGTAGTTATTTCTACAATAATTTAAGAATTATTTCTAGTAGTTATTTATAGCATTTATTAGTTCAATCTGAGACAGCTGCTCAAAACTAGTTTACATAAGTGAAAATGTACATGAAGAAACATAAATGTATACTATACTATACTTTTAAAAATACAGCAGAATTCCAAGGGCATTTCTAAAATCTCATCAACAAGAAAACCAGTTTAGTAGGAAAAAGTAGAAAACTTCTTGATCTGCTTTGATAAGGATTGTTATATTCGGCTGAGAAACTATTGAATATTTCTTCAGTGTTTGGAAATCTTTATGAGAATGTCATCCCTGACATTGTGTTTTATGTCTGTCATCCAGGTTTATGGAGTGCTGATATACATTGCAAATTTTCGCCTGCTCGCAGAGCTTTCCAGCCCTTTTGTGAATCAGCGGTAGGTTACTGCTATCATGAATTATTTTAGGGTTATCCTACTTACACTACTTACTTTAGGTTGGAGATATTTTCCCCCCAAGATCCTAAACATGTTATATAAAAAATGAGAATGGATGACATGGATTATCATCATCATCATCGAGGAAAGTGACCCTTGGAAAGATTGGAGTGATTTATCCAAGGTTCCTAGCTAAGGGGTGGTAATAGCTTTTGACCTCTGCTCTCTATGACGCTGCTTTGTTCTAACTGGTTCTGTGGCCCTTCCTTCACTCTGCAGGACAAACTGTGTTCACTGACTCTTAGAATTTGGCGGGGGGTTCTTCATGGAAAAGAACAAGCATTGCTCTTCCTTGTCTTGGGTCCATTTTTGTTCCTGACACTAAATTCCACCCATCTGCAAAAGCTGATATTGATATTATCTTAGTCTCTCACTTTAAAAAGATAATCTTTTTATTTTTGTTACTTTAAAATCTTTTAAATACTGCTCATATTTTAAGTATAAACAAATGTAAATAACAGTCTAGAGGCCAGCAGGTGGTGTGATGGTTAAGGCGCTGGACTCCCACATAGACAACCACGGTTTGAATCCCAGGCCCAGTGTCTTAAAATTGACAATGGGGGTATGTGCATGCATGTCCAAAAATTCCCAGGAGGAGAATGGAGGAGATGGGATTGTGGTGTGGCCATGACCCCAGGGGGTGATTTCTCAGTTTCCTTCTCATTGTCTCTCCAGCAAGCTCACGTTCCCTATAGCAAAACTTTAACAACAACAAAACTGGTCTATAATATTTATAGTTATTACTGACTTTTTAAAAAAAACTATCTTAACCATTTTTAAGAATACAATTCAGTAGTGTAAGATCTGTTTACATTGTTATGGAATAGATCTCTAGAACATTTTCATCTTGCAAAGTTAAAATTGTATACTTATTAAATACTAACTTCCTTTTACCCAAGCCCTTGATGACCACCTTTCTACTTTCTGTTTCTTTGAGGTTCAGTTATGTTATAGCATATGACAGGATTTCCTTTTATTTTTAGGGCTGTGTAATATTATGTTGTACATATATTTTGCATTTTCTTTTTTTTTAAAGAATTATTTTTATTTTTATTTACTCATTTATCATTATTATTATTATTATTTTAAATTTTGACCAGAGAGAGACAGAGAAAGAAAGTGAGAAAGCAAGCCACCAAGTCTGGGACTTGAACCATGATCAGCCATGTGGGAGTGTTCAGCTCCTTAACCACCATGCTGCCTGCTTGTCCCATATTGTGCATTTTCTTTATTCATTCTTCTATGGGCATTTAGAATGTATTCTTGCTATTGTGAACAATGCTACAATGAACATGGGCAAACAAGTATCTTTTCAAGATCCTGCTTTGAATTATTTTGGTTGGAGAAACATGCTGGGCACATATATATGCCTATGAGCCCAAAACCCAAAGAGAAGGAAAAGTGGTGGAGAATGAATTGCAGCATGACCATGCCCTGTGGAGGTGTGGGGTGCTTTCTCTTTTTCTCTCTCTGTGTTTCTCTGGTGAGTATATATATATAAATATTTACTAACTCATTTAATACTGATAATACTAATAATACCATTGCATGTTAGCATAATTTGTGTGCATGTGTGTAGAAAATGACCACATTGCCAAAACAAATTGTCAGTGAGAACAGTATCATTTTATATTTTGGCATTTTTTTTTAATTGTCTAGAATGATGGAATTTATTTGGATTGCCAAGTCTGTTTTTGTTTTCAGTCTGTGTGCTAAGTTGTTTTGGATGAAACATGAAAAATAGCTGACTTCTCTGAGGTAATAATATATTAAAAAAAGAGAGGAGTATTTTATTAGCCTTCTCCAAATAACTGTGGATAGTCTTTACACTGAAATATACCCAGGGGTAGTTTCTTGAAGGGTAGGTAACTGTGGCATCTGAAACCGTAGCAATGGACTTTTTGTACTCTGCTGCGCTCAAACCTTAGCATCTCTTGGGCTTTGAATCCTTTACCCATGCATAATTTTGATTCATCATGCTTTAGTTATTTGGAAAATATTGGTTCACTGAGTTATGTAGATCTTCTAAATGTTGACACATTTATTTGATATTTGAAGAAAGAACACATTAGTTATTGTCACCACAGATCTCATTAGAAAAACCTTTAAGTAGTATTGGAAGGCTGTCACACTCACAGTAGTAGATACAGATTTTCCAAAATTCTAATTTTTATTGAAAGTTCAAATTTGTTTTTTGGCAACAAATACTATCAGCTGCCTTCCTTAAAGTGATATGCCCACTTTGTTTATTTTTGAGAAAATGCTTGCCAAATAAGCAGCCATTGTTTGTTATTTTTTCAAGGAAGAATGGTGTTCATGGAAAATCGGGGTAATTTAGCTTACGATTGTCCAGGAGTTTTTCCTCATACAACCATTGTACTCTTCAGTACTTCTCAGTTTATCACACAGAATACTAAAGAGACAAGTACTCTAAGGTCATGATTTAATAAAATTAGTAATTCTCTCTCCTTTTTATTTTTATTAGGTTTTTGCTATAGGGCATGCAGGCTCACTGCAGACAGACAGAGACAAAGAGAAGGAAAGTGAGAAATCACTCCCCAGAGGGAATGGTCATGCTACAATCCATCTCCTCCATTCTCCCCCTGGGATTTTGGGCATACATGCACATGGGCCCAATGTAGTTGTCGGTCTGTCAGGTCTGAGACTTGAACTACAGTTGGCCATGTGGGAACCTACCACTTGTTGGCCCTTAAAACGAATAATTCTTACTGCTTCATCAAGGGCATTCCTAAGTCAAACTAGGTTTCTTTCCCTTTTTTTTTTTTAAAGAGTTATTTATTTCATTCTATTTGTTGTTGTTGTTATCATTATTATTATTTTAAATTTGACCAGAAAGAGACAAACAGAGAAAGGAAAAGCAAGAAAGCAAGCTACCAGATCTGGGTTTCAAACCATGATCAACCATGTAAGAATTCAATGCCTTAACCACCACACCACCTGCCGGCCCTGGTTTTTGTTTTTAATTGCAAGTATATGGCAATAGAGAATACAATGTCTATTAATACCATTTCTTGTTATTGTCTTTACTAGTCCTTTGTACTGTCAGTGCAAAAGTTAGCATAACGAAAAAAGCAAATGTTTTACTATGATTATGAAAATAGTTTTCCTTTGTAGATTCCCCCAAAAAGTGTCGGGTCCATGGATCACATTTTAGAACATACTATTGACTGATATTTGTCATTTAGAGCTTCACAAAGAATGTGGGACACAATCTAAAGTGTTTCAGGACTTTCTACAAAAGCTCCCCTCCACTAAAGGAGAAAAGAATGTACGTAGGGTTTTGAAAAGTGGAATAAACATGCTGTGGGAAAGAGATAGGGCATAGATTGGCAGGATCAGAGTTCGTCTTAGAGGAGGATGGGTAGACATGGTGCTGAGCGCCAGAGAGAGCTGATTGAACTTGACCTAGCCAACAGTTAAAATATATTGTTGTAGAGAAAGAAATGAAAAGAGTAATGAAATGAATGAAAAGAGTAATCCAATTTTTGGTATTTTTAGGATAGATTGTTAGACTGGAGGTAAAAAAGTTTGGGTTAGGAGGCTAGCATCCAGTTGAATGAATGAATGAATGAATGAATGGGACAATTTTGTTAAGGAAGTAAATAAGCGTATAATCTCCAGGAACAGAGAAAAGATGGCAAAATAGAGATTCTGAAGGGAGAAAAAGGAAACCAACAACGGATTAAAAAAAAAAAAAGGAAGAAAAAGGAAACCAACAATGGATAAAAAAAAAAAATTATAGAGAATAGAGACAAGTTTAAGATAAATTCTGTTTTAGAACCAGAAAACTGGGCTCATCACAAATGATAGTGAGGGCCAGGTAGGGGTGCAGTGGTAACACAGCTGCCCCACTTGGGAAAAGTCCTTGGTTTCCATCCTATATCTCCCTGAGCATGCTGTGTGCATGAGCGTGTGCCTGTGATCCAGTCCAGCTGAGACTAGGGGTGGACAATAGCATGAAGACCCTGTTGAGGGTGTCTGTCTCTCATGGTCAAAATGAATAAGTAAATAAAAATTAAAAAAAAGACTATACGGACTTTGGAATACTAGAAGTGAAGGTGATGACTTTGGTTTAGCAGAAGCTGGATATAAGGACAAACAGGACCTCTGAATAGAAATTAGGAGCTAGAGAGAGGAATTTTGGACTGATTAGAAGAGAGGTGATACTTGAAGCCATGAGAAAAGATGGCCTGCCTTGTAGCACATTGGTTAAGCACTGCACAGAGGACATCATAGCCTACATGGCCAACCAGGGTTTAAGTCTTAGCCCTACTGGCTAGGAAGACACACTGGGTGCGTGCTCAAGATCCTGACAAAATGGAGAATTGGAGGAGATGGGATTGCTGTATGGCTTGGGTGATTCATTCCTCCCTCCTTCCCTCCCTTTTGTGCACACCTACCCTCTGGCATAAATATAAAATTGAATGTCTAGCATTGGGAAACAGAAGGAAAAGTAGATACAGTGAAGGAATAGAAGTAGTAATAGAATGAAAATAATGTCAGGGAGGAGGGCAGCTTCTCTAAAATTAAAATCCTGAACTCCTAAGTTTCCGGGATTAATATTTATTAAATACAAACATTTATGTGCCTACAAGAATTACATTCACAACCAAGATATAAGTAGGGTCATCTCTCAGCCTGGTCCTGTGTTGAATCCCAGAAACAGTCTGGCATCCAAATCCTAACTGGAGGTTTTCCAAGGATATCAACAAAGATCCACTTTGTTACTCACAACAACACTTCTTAAAATTCTCTTCAATCCTCTTGACCTCACAATACCTCCTGGACCCTGCAACTTTCCCAGGGCACTCCTAAACTTCTGACTGTCAACTCCTAACTCTTGTAAAATTCGCCACATCAGTACCATGCTGGGATGGATTCTTTGTCCATGTCCTCTTTTCTCACTTTTTAAATTATTT